TAGTCATTATTTTTCTTACATAAAACCACCGGGCTAGCATAACTACTTGAGATGGGCGTTATGATCTTTTTACGTAGCATATCGGTGAATATGCCATTCTATAATTTTTTCCTTATTCTTATCATACCGGTATGCTTTGTGGCGAACTGGCATTGAATCTCCGGTGTCAATACTATGGTTAGTAACCTGAGTAAATCCTGGAATATCACTAAATAACGAAGCAAATTCACTTACCACTTGTCGGATTCTTCGTTGCTCTTCATTAGGCAGGTGGTCAAGGTTTAACATCGGCGGTTCAGCCTTTTCTTCACGAACTGGTTTCATTGTCAGCTTAAGGGACGCTTCATTAAAATCCAGCGTTGCTTGTGTGCCTCTGAAAGAAAATCTATTCCTAAGATAATATGTGCTTGCAGATTCTTTACTATGAAAAACATAACCTTTACTTGTTCGTCCTTGATACGGACATACAGCGGTAATTTACCTATACACTTACATCTTTCTCCTTGCGCAGCTAACACTGTCGTATTATCCGAATTATATATGCGACGATATTTACGAAAATACTTCCTAAAAAAATCTTCTGCCACACAGGAACACTGCGCGCCTGTATCCAGGAGTGCGGTGGCTGGGATATTATTCACCAACACTTCAATCTTCGGAAGAGTCAAATTTTTCACCATTACTGTATTTAACTTGAAGGAAGAGGGGTTTTCGTGGCCTTCGGATTTCCGCACCCTCCCGTCAGCAGAAATCCGTTTTAGTTTAAATTATTTTTCATTTCCGTGCTTTCCTTCTTTTTCCACTGGCCTTGAGACTTTTTTCCTGGATTGCTATTGAACTGTCGACGTTCGCCGGCTGTTTTTGAATGCTCGGGTTTCCTTGCCCACTGATTCGCTTTGCTTCCGTAGCCGTGTGCTTGAGTTTGCTGTAGTCTTGGCGCACCAAATTGGTTTCGCTGTTGATATTGGCGTCTTCTTTCAATGTCCGCCGTTCTTCTACTTTCAAACTGGATTGCTAGCTCAAATAACTTTTCCAGTGTAGTCGGATTTCTTAATTCAATAAAGTCTTGCACTTGGGGCAGTAACCTCGGCAAAATCACTTGAATTATCTCAGGATCCGGACGGTTTCCATACAAGAGTTTTGAAGACGTGAATTTTTCTTAAAATAAAGCTTGAGAGATTTTCGATTCTTTGCTGATATATGCTGAAAAGTTCCGTTTCTAATTTCGCACGATCCCTTACGACAGGGAAGGCTTTTACTAGGGCAGTCTTGAAATTTTCGTAAGTATAGGTGGGACTTCCTGCTTGACCCAAGAGACTTCTGCCTATACATTTGAACCAATTAAGCGCTTGGCCCCTCAAAGCGCTGGTAGCTAAGGTAACTTTTTGAAATTCGTGCACGGGGTAGAGCATGAAGTGGTCATCCAATTTTTCCAAAAAACTGGTTACCGGTGAGTTTCCATTAAATGTTGCTTCTGGTTTCATCGAAGCGCGCATGGTCTGGACGATGTAACCAAATCCTTCCAGGGCGGCAGCTGGCATTTCTGGATTCTGAGCCGCTTCTGCACGATGTAAATTTGGCTTGCCGTCCCCCCGTTTCTAATTTCGCACGATCCCTTACGACAGGGAAGGCTTTTACTAGGGCAGTCTTGAAATTCTCGTAAGTATAGGTGGGACTTCCTGCTTGACCCAAGAGACATCTGCCTATACATTTGAACCAGTTAAGCGCTTGGCCCCTCAAAGCGCTGGTAGCTAAAGTAACTTTTTGAAACTCGTGCACGGGGTAGAGCATGAAGTGGTCATCCAATTTTTCCAAAAAACTGGTTACCGGTGAATTTCTATTAAATGTTGCTTCTGGTTTCATCGAAGCGCGCATGGTCTGGGCGATGTAACCAAATCCTTCCAGGGCGGCAGCTGGCATTTCTGGATTCTGAGCCGCTTCTGCAGGCAGCACAGGTTCGTTCGCCGGCTGTTTTTGAATGCTCGGGTTTCCTTGCCCACTGATTCGCTTTGCTTCCGTGTGCTTGACTTTGCTGTGGTCTTGGCGCACCAAATTGGTTTCGTTGTTGATATTGGCGTCTTCTTTCAATGTCCGCCGTTCTTCTACTTTCAAACTGGATTGCTAGCTCAAATAACTTTTCCAGTGTAGTCGGATTTCTTAATTCAATAAAGTCTTGCACTTGGGGCAGTAACCTCGGAAAAATCACTTGAATTATCTCAGGATCCGGACGGTTTCCATACAAGAGTTTGAAGACGTGAATTTTTCTTAAAATAAAGCTTGAGAGATTTTCGATTCTTTGCTGATATATGCTGAAAAGTTCCGTTTCTAATTTCGCACGATCCCTTACGACAGGGAAGACTTTTACTAGGGCAGTCTTGAAATTCTCGTAAGTATAGGTGGGACTTCCTGCTTGACCCAAGAGACATCTGCCTATACATTTGAACCAGTTAAGCGCTTGGCCCCTCAAAGCGCTGGTAGCTAAGGTAACTTTTTGAAACTCGTGCACGGGGTAGAGCATGAAGTGGTCATCCAATTTTTCCAAAAAACTGGTTACCGGTGAATTTCCATTAAATGTTGCTTCTGGTTTCATCGAAGCGCGCATGGTCTGGGCGATGTAGGGCGGCAGCTGGCATTTCTGGATTCTGAGCCGCTTCTGCAGGCTTCAATGCTCGGGTTTCCTTGCCCACTGATTCGCTTTGCTTCCGTAGCCGTGTTGACTTTGCTGTGGTCTTGGCGCACCAAATTGGTTTCGTGTTGATATTGGCGTCTTCTTTCAATGTCCGCCGTTCTTCTACTTTCAAACTGGATTGCTAGCTCAAATAACTTTTCCAGTGTAGTCGGATTTCTTAATTCAATAAATTCTTGCACTTGGGGAAGTAACTTCGGCAAAATCACTTGAATTATCTCAGGATCCGGACGGTTTCCATACAAAAGTTTGAAGACGTGAATTTTCTTAAAATAAAGCTTGAGAGATTTTCGATTCTTTGCTGATATATGCTGAAAAGTTCCGTTTCTAATTTCGCACGATCGCTTACGACAGGGAAGGCTTTTACTAGGGTAGTCTTGAAATTCTCGTAAGTATAGGTGGGACTTCCTGCTTGACCCAAGAGACTTCTGCCTATACATTTGAACCAGTTAAGCGCTTGGCCCCTCAAAGCGCTGGTAGCTAAGGTAACTTTTTGAAACTCGTGGACGGGGTAGAGCATGATAGCATGAAGTGGTCATCCAATTTTTCCAAAAAAACTGGTTACCGGTGAGTTTCCATTAAATGTTGCTTCTGGTTTCATCGAAGCGCGCATGGTCTGGACGATGTAACCAAATCCTTCCAGGGCGGCAGCTGGCATTTCTGGATTCTGAGCCGCTTCTGCAGGCAGCACAGGTTCTTCTTGAAACTCGGCCATGGTTATTCTTCTTCGTTGGGCGCCACTATCAGGTTCAATGTTCCGTCTTACTTTCTTGGGGAAACATGCAAGGACCTGACTCGGAACAGGGAGCTTACTAAAGCTATGTTCAATAAATGTGGGAAGTAGACAAGGATACACAGGAGAAGGGTATACAAACCCTTTATTTTTCACTCTTTACAATAATTTCCGTACTTCGGAATACAGAGACCAACTACTTGTGGTCTGAACGTAAGAATATAAAATATTTAACTAAACTCTAACTTAACTTTGGAATAATAAACGTGGAAGATTGGCCTTATATTAACAGGAAGCCGTATGTAGTACAGAGAACTGTTAACACTACAATACGTTTAAAATTATCACGAGGATTAAAACCTCTGGCCTGGAAGGCAACAGCAACTGCAGCAACGGAGTAAAACTCTAAGGTAAGCGGCCTGCTTCGACTAACTCCTTCCTCTCTCTCGCTTGGCAAAAAAGCCACAACTTAAGTACTTGGCGTTCGCCAGACAAATTTTGCATAAATAAGTTAACGCTTTTAATTCTGGCCGGAAGTAGAAAATAAGAAGTGATAGTAAAGATTTAAAATAAAATAAACGTTAGTAAAACTTAACCACCAAGAGAAAATAATACAACAGAAGAAATGAAAATTCCGTCAAACTTGATGATGAACACGATAATAACATCTTGAAAAGCCGACAGAGTATCACAATAAATGAAAACGGAAAATAGTCGGAATTCTATACAGAAAAGACCTGCGCGAATGACGACGCCCCCAGAAAAATTAAAAGATTACATAGTATGCAATACAAATGAAGAATTACCTAAGACGTATGATGAAGCTGTAGAATCTGCTGAAATAAAAATTCTGGCTACATGCAATGGTAGAAGAACTGAGTTCAATGGAGGCTAATGAAGTCTGGGAATTAGTTGAAAGACCCATCGATAAGGAAGTTATTAAAAACCGCTGGATATTCTCAAAAAGGGATGAAAAGTTTAATTTAGAAACAATTTACAAAGCAAGACTAGTAGCAAACGGATTAAATCAAAGAAAAGGAATTGATTATGAAGATGGATTTAGTCCAATAATGAGACTAGCAACCTTTAGAACATTGTTATTGATTTCAGTTTACAAAAACTACAAAATAAGATTTTTCGATGTAAAAACTGCATATTTAAATGGATACTTGAATAAACCAATATGCATAGAACAACCACCTGGATTTATATGAGATCTGAACAAAGTATATCTTGTAAACAAAAGTATATATGGATTACTACAATCAGGAAAATGCTGGTATGATGAATTATGCAAAGTTCTTAAGGAACGGAATTTAACTAAAGTCAGATCCCTGTGTTTATATTTATAAAGATAAGATCAACTATCTTATCATAGCAGTATATGTGGATGACTTGATGGTGATTGGATATTCAAATTCTGAGATAAATGACATCATCTGTCAATATCTAAATCGTTCACATTACGATAACTCACGAAAACACACAAATTTTTAGGAATGGACATCCGACAAGAATCCGGAAAACTCATAACTACTCAGTCAAGAAAACTACATAACTAAAATATTAAGAAACTTTGAAATGGATGAATGTAAACCTGTCAAGACTCCAGGAATATTGGGTGAAAATCTTGATGACATAGCATCTTCGCCACCTGTGTCGAAGACAAAATATCGAGAAGCATTAGGTTCATTGATGTACTTAGCAACAGACACAAAGCCAGACTTAGCTTTTGCAATAAGTAATTTGTCAAGATATAATCAAGATCCCGGAGAGAAACACTGGAAAGCTGTAAAGAGGATATTTAGATATCTTAAAGGAACACAAAATGCTTGTTTAGTATATACGTCAGATAGTGGGAAATTAAATGCTACATCAGGATGCAAGTTGGTGTACCACTGAAATGAAAAATTATTTGGAGGTTTTTTTCATTAAATTAGGCCAAAATTTTATAAATTGGAAGTGCAACAAACAAAGAATAGTTGCTCTATCTAGAATGGAAGCTGAACTTTTAGCATTCTGTGAATGTGCATGTGAAGTTAAATGGTACATCTTTTTACTTGAAGAATTGGGACAAGATGATCTAATTGACAAACCAATAGAAATTTGAAAAGACAGTCAAGCATTAATAGATTGGATAAAAAGACCAAAACAAAGTAGTAGTTCAAGGCACATTAATAGAAAATATTTCTTTGTAAAGGATGAATATGAAACGAATCAAATCATTCCTCAGTTTGTGTGTTCACAAAATCAAGAAGCTGATAAGCTTAAGTATCTAACGTAGGGTGAAATTGAAAGATGAACTAATAAAGTATGGACATGACTTCACTGATTAAAATTATATCTTTAAACACAAATAAGGGGACAATTGATAGTATTTGTTTATAAAGTATAATTTTAACTAAGGCTAACGAACTAGCTACAAATTAAATTAAAATAATAAAAAAATTCAAACAATCCTCAGATATAAAAATTTAATTTGGAAAGTCTCGTGTAAATATAAAATTAAGGGAGTCCGTTTGCGTAAAACAAAAATTATTTATCTTTAAAAAAACGTCAAAGTAAATACCTGTCCCACTTAAAAAGGGGGAGCATTTTGCTAAATACAAAGTAAGGTATAAAATTATGTAAGACGAAAAAACATACCTTGTGGTCAACACGGGCTCTGGCTAATTTTAAATAGCCGTTAATATAGCTCTGGCTCTTTTAAATGCCTCTGGCTAATTTTCTCGTAGAAATTGCTCTGTATTCGCTCTCTGTGCGTTCATTGGTTGCACGTGTTTAATAATAAGCATAGCTGGGTTGGGAAAATCAGAAAACTCAGAAAATGAATAATAAAATACTTTTTGCAACTTTCCCTGACGAACTGTGAAATGCCCATATTAAACATTAAGTATATTTATTAATACATTGTTTTTTATTTGGTAGAATAAAGAAAGCAGAAATTAAGTAGAAATAAGAGGTGTCCTACTTTTCTGCGGCGAAATCGGTTTTACACACTGAAGGAACATAAAGTACGTATCAAAATTGAAATACCTATCATTTTCTTAACATCTCGATACCGAACTCTGAAAATAGCTAGACTAGGCTTTCGGTATTCAAACAACTTGGTATAGCGAAAACAATTCCTTCAACTAATTCCTTAACGTTTTGAGTTTACAAAGGAGTTTCAAAATTTCAAAACTTATACTTGAATATGATGAAATTCATAAATGTATAAATACATGCAAATAAAATTTCATCGTGTAGGTATTAATTTATTGATTTATATTTTCAGTCCATTTCAGTCTCAAGAATGTATTAACTTGGAAAACAGCAGTCTGATTTGACATCACCAAATTGAATCTCCGAAATGATTTCAATATTTAGTTCCTTATTTTGATAGTTGATATTGACATAAATAATATACAGTAGTGCCTCCATACTCTTTGATTCGACATCCTGAGATATATTTTGCGCTTTGTTATGAAATGTATATATTTATTACTTCATTGTCTACGTGAGAAAACATCTTAAATATTTCAGTCCTTTACTTTACCTCATATTGTACATTCATTAAGCCGTAATTCATTACGCCATATAGAAACGAAAAATTGTGTATTTCTAAAAAGAAAGAGGAGAGAGGGATCTAGATCCTTTGTATCATTTGTACGTGTGCACAATAGATTTTCACTTAAAAATTCATAGGTTCCATAATATATCAACTGTTTTCCAGTTAATTTTTAAATTGACCTTTTAGTGACTATTTTGAAGTTTTCCAGTTATCATGCGCTTTTTAAATAGTCTAAACTAACAGCTAAAACATTATGACAACACTCAGCTAATATCGTGCTTCTCCACTTAACACATGCGACATGTGAAACAGCTATAATCCTACGTGACATGGATTCTAGAAGCCCCTGATAAGCGTCCAGAGAAGGATTACACTAAATCTTGAAGCAGAGATGAGCAATTTCTCTAGATTACGGAAATCTGTTTGGTGAGCTCTGAGTTTGCGCTCCATGACACCCAAAACATGCTGTATAAGATTAGTATCTGGCAGGTTAAAAGCTCAGATATCAACTGAAATTCATCAGTATGTCCCTGAAACTACTGTAACACAATTTCGGCCTTGCGTCAAGAAGCATTGTCCTTCTGAAAGAGGTTATTTCTAGAGGGAAGATAGAAGACATGAAAAGGTGTACTTGGACGGCATCGAAATTCGCGTAGTCTGTTGCTACCATGGTGTCTTCCACAACAGTCGCAGGTACCAGAAACTCCTGTGAGAATTCCACCCTACGGTACGTGTGTAGCTCAACTACTACTCTGGAAGACAGTGTACCCTGACATATTAACGATGTGATACAAAAAAATCATGTTTCATTCAACTAGCTAACTCTTTACCATTGTTGAATGGTACAGTCACAGTTGTTCATAGGTTCATTGCAGTCGTAGGTTTTGCCGACGCAGTGTTCACAGAAGCAGATGACGTCGTCTAGCTGTGGAGTTCCACACAATCTAACAACTAAAAACAATCTCTTAAACGGTGGGATCAGACACACTGTAAGGATCTTAAGTTTTACTAACGTTTATTTTATTTTAAATCTTTACTATCACTTTTTATTTTCTACTTCCGGCCAGAATTAAAAGCTTTAACTTATTTATGCAAATTTGTCTGGCGAACGCATAGTACTTAAGTTGTGGCTTTTTGCCAAGCAAGAGAGAGGAAGGAGTGATTAGGAGCGGGCCGCTTGCCATTGCAGTTTTACTTTGGTTGCTGGTGTTGCCTTCAAGGCCAGAGGTTTTAATCCTCTTGATAATTTTAAACGTATCATAGTGTTAACAGTTCTCTGTACTACATACGGCCTTTCTGTTAATTTACGGCCAATCTTCAAGTAGACACTTTGTTATTATCCAAAGTTAGTTTAGTTAGAATTTAGTTAATATTTTTATATTCTTACGTTCAGACCACAAGTGGTTGGTCTCTGTATTCCGAAGTCCGAAAATCATTGTAAAGAGAGAAAAATAAAGGGTTTTGTATACCCTTCCTGTGTATCTTGTCTACTTCCCACATTTATTGAACATAGCTTGAGTAAGCTCCCTGTTCCGAGTCAGGTCATTTAATGTTCCCCAAGAAAGTAAGGAGGAACACTGAACCTGATAACACGTGTAGATAATCTGCATTGTATGCAGTTCTTAGTTCAGGCACCGGCAACTGCCTGTTTGTATTTTCTTAATGTCCCTATTCGTTGATCAGGCATGGACGTCCAGTACCTCCGTATCTACTAGCAGTTTCACCATCCTTCTTCCACTTTTAATAACGATGGAAACTCGCGAACATGGGATGAGGGAGATTTGCTCAGAAATACTCGTTCCTAGCCTTCAGGACAACACGATATGGCCTTCATCGAAGTCGCTATATCATTAGCCTTTTCCATTATTAAAAAAATATTATATGACTTCCTTGAGAGAGCTCTGGTCATACTTAATACTAATAGAAGCCAATAATTAAGACACAATAACACGCCGAACAAATACTCATTCAGAAGTCAAACAACAAAAATCAGCGTTATTCCCCAAGCAATAAAATTACGAATTCCATACTCAAGGACCCCATTCCGGATGTGAATTCCTGGGGTATTTACAGGATTCCTTGCCAGTGTGGTTTAATTTACATTGGCCATACTTAGAGAACCTTAAAATTTCGCGTCAAGGAACATGAGGCATATGTTAGAAAAAACGAAACACAGAAGTCTTCTGTTGCCCAACATTGTTGGTCCAAAAATCACACTTTCAATTTTTCTGCTGCCAAAATTATTCAAAAAAAATCTGCCATTAGTGAACTGGATTTTCTAGAGGCATTTCACATTCAAAAAAATCTTTCTGTTCTAGTTAACGACCCTAATTCCAATCCATCTTTGCCTTCAACCTTTAAAGAAATTATGTTTTAGTTCTGATTTCAGAAACAGATGGCTCCAGTAGCTTACCTCCTTTTCAGGCCTTCTTATCTTATCTAACCATTATATCCTATCTCGTTCATTTGCATTTTTGCAGCTGAGGATGATGGTTCGGTAAAACCATCGAAACTAGTCCTGTGAAAATTTGAAAATATAACGCTGATTTTTGTTGTTTGATTTCTGAATTAGAAGCCAATACTTCAACATTTAAAAAAAATAATCATTTCGTTTACAAAACAACCCGGAGTGCATCAATGATTATCATCTTCTACGTCGCAAAGCTGAACTAAACTAACATTCTTTTCTAAGAAGAAGAGCGCCATCTAACGACGATACAAAAATCGTTTGTGGGATTTTTCAACATTCAGGTGTAAAGAAATCCATGCCACAATTCTGAGGAATTTCAGCACACCTATTACACATACAGGCAATCGACAAAATAATGTGTAAGTACTTCGGACAGCCGTTAAATAACATTCCACCTCGTCATATGCCACTACACCTCTTCGGCTAGATCACTCTCACAGACTAGGAGTGATTATAACCATTCGACTGATTAGTGTGTATACATATGCATAATGTTTTTAATGAAAAAACGGAGCAAACACTTGCTGAAAACAAATATGTTGATATTTTAATAACTGCAGATAATAAACATGATAAAAATTAATAAAATTTGTAAAAACGTTGGTACGTGCAAATTAAAATTTAGCATACATCTATTTGTTTATTTTATTTTGTTTTATATTTTTATTCAGAGAATTGATAACACAAAGCTTCAGAAGAGAGTACTTCAAAATTTTGTTGATTTATAAATGAAAAGGTGTGGAGATAATTGCAATTCAAAAAATTAAGATTGTAGATTAACAATTCTACGAAGAGATTAGTTTTGGGAACATTTAAAAAATTCAATAATATTAAAACATAATAATAAAAAGTGTAAAAATGTAAATTAAAGAAACTATC